AAAAAAAAAAAAAAAAAAATCAGGTTGTCTTATTATTGAGTTGTAAGAGATCGTAATTTATTTGAGCTATGAGTCCTTTGTCAGGCATGTGTACTGCACGATTTTCTCTAAGTCTGTGGCTTGCCTTTCATTTTCTAAGCAGTGTCTTCCAAAGATCATAAGCTTTTGATTAAGGTAAAGCCCAATTTATTGATTTTTTTTTCTTTTACAGTTTGTGCTTTCTGTGTCCTAAGAAATCTTTGCCTACCCCAAAGTTGTAAAGAGATTCTTTTTTATACTTTCAGAACTTCTGTAATTTCAGTTTTTATGTGTAGCTCTATAACTCATTTCAGAGTTGTTTTTTTTTTTTTTTTCTGGAGATGGAGTTTCCCTCTGTCACCAGACTGGAGTGTAGTGGTGTGATCTCAGCTCAATGCAACCTCTGCGTCCTGGGTTCAAGTGATTCTCCTGCCTCAGCCTCCTGAGTAGCTGGGATTACAGGCACATGCTGCCACACCCAGCTAATTTTTCTATTTTTAGTAGAGATGGGGTTTCATCATGTTGGCCAGGATGGTCTTGATTGCCTGACCTCATGATCTACCTACCTCAGCCTCCCAAAGTGCTGGGATTACAGGCTTTAGCCATCGCACCCGGCCACAGATTAATTTTTATACATGATGTAAGTATCCAAGTGTATTTTTTCCCCAAATGAATATCTACTTGTTCCAACACCATTTGCTGAAGAGACTTTTGGTGATAGCCCTTAAAACTCTCCATTTCCTTTGGACTCCAAGGTTGGAAGGATTCAGTGTGACAAATAGACTGCATTTGTTAAATAGTAATTTATCTCTATTCCCATCTTGACTTCTGAAAGACATACAGAACTGCCAGGCTTCTGATCAGCATGAGACAGTGTTATCATACTGAGCCAAAAGAATCCCAGCCAAAAGCAGAGAATTTGACATCCAGCTAGCTGGCTCGGCAAGAGTATGGGGAAACACAAAATCTCCCTGAGGATTTTCCCAATGGGGAGAATACATTTTTGGATCTCTACTCACAACTCTGCAATTAAAACGTCTTCTGTACTTAGATGAGGACTGCTGCTGTGCAGGGGCCTTGGCTCTCCTCCTTGGCCCCAGAGCCCTCTCTATCTACAAATAAAAGAGCTATCAGCCAGGCGCGGTCTGTAATCCTAGTGCTTTGGGAGGCCGAGGTGGGTGGATCACCTGAGGTCAGGAGTTCAAGACCAGCCTGGCCATCATGATGAAACCCCATCTTTAAAAAATAAAACAAAATAAAATAAAATAAAATTTAAAAAAGCTATTGGCCGGGCGCAGTGGCTCACGCTTGTAATCCCAGCGCTTTGGGAGGCTGAGGAAGGCGAATCACCTGAGGTTGGGAGTTTGAGACCAGCCTGACCAACATGGAGAAACCCTGTCTCTACTAAAACTACAAAATTAGCTGGGTGTGGTGGTGCATGCCTGTAATCCCAGCTACTCAGGAGGCTGAGGCAGGAGAAAAGCCTAAACCCAGGAGGTGGAGGCTGTGGTGAGCTGAGATCGTGCCATTGCAACTGCACTCCAGCCTGGGCAACAAGAGTGAAACTCCATCTCAAAAAAAAAAAAGAGCTGTTAAACATGAAAACACATGGGGAGCCCCTCCACAAAGGCCTCTGTAGAAGCCACATTAACCAGTATTTATTGAGGGTTCAGTAAGCTCCACTCCAGGTCCTAGGTCTCACAACAGTGCTCAAAGAGATTATCTCCATTTCACAGATTTAAAAAGTGAGGGGCAGAGGCCTGACAGGCCTTGTCCTGTGAGGCAGGCTACATGATAGAGCCAGGTTTGCAAAACAGGTTCGTCTAGATCCACTGAGTGCTCATCCATTATGGGAGTCTCTTCTATTTAACTGTGAATGTGATCTAAATATTCCAAGACGAGAAAAAAAAAACAAAAAACACCCAACTTAATTGTAAAGAGAAAAATAATTAAAATCAACAATATCTTTTCACCCACTGGAGTGGCAAAACAAAACAAAACAAATCTGGTAATATCAAGTGCCGGTGAAGGTGCAGAAAGTGTATCCCTGTGGGAAGCGTCAAGGAGAGCAGCCAATTTACATTCTGAAGGCAATTTAGCCTTGTCTGTTAAAATAAAAAATGTACATATGCTTAATTAAGTTATAGCAGTTTGATTAGAGTGAGTGTCACAGAGGGTGTAGGTTAGGGTACTCTTAATCATTGCTGATGGGAGCATTTATTAATAAAATCTTATTTGAGAACTACTCTATGATGTCTGCTAAAATATAAAAAACACACGCCCTGGGATCCAGCAATGCCGCTTCTTAGCATCTGCCCTAGATAAATACAAGTCCCCAAGGAGGGCAAATATGAAGATTTTTTCCTCTAGCATTGTTTGGTGTTATATTCTCCTGTATTTTCTAACACTCTTAGTTTTATTTTGCTTGTGAATCTTAAAAAAAAAGAAAAACCCAGTCTTCTGATTATATGACTTAAAGACATATAAAAAAATAAATAAAACGAGGGAGTACCAGTGGCATGCTAGGTTTCGGGTGCCGAGGAAGGACTATAAACTGAAACAAAAACACACCGACAGTCTTTTGGAGACCAGAACTCACGACTCCAAAGCTGAGCAGGCACGGCAAGGCCAGTTAACCTCCCAGGACCAATAGAACCTTCCAGTTTTGGGGGAGGGGGCTGCAGATGGTTTACCCTACTACAGCAGCTCCAGGATCCCCAGCCCTCTTTGTAGGGCAGCGTCTGGGCGAAGTTTGAATGGCAGGGGGTGGGGAGACAGGGGGCCACAAAGGGAGAAGGAACAGAAGGCGGTTGCTAGGAGACGGCTTGAAAAGTCTCAGCACAAGCTAGGAATTTGGTGGAAACCACTGATCTCGTGCCAGGGTCTTGGGAGATAGGTCCTGGGCCTATTTCTGGCATCAGACCTTTGCCTGTGTGATCTGTAGTAGAGTGTGGCACAGCAGTGTGCCAGGGAGAAGGGGAGAGAGGGAGAGAGGGAGAGAAAGAGAGAGGAAAGGAAAGAGAGAGGGAGATGGCCAGGGGTCGGTGGGGAGAGACAGAGAGAAAGAGAGAGAGAGGAAGAAAAGGAGGGGAGAGAGCGACTGAGACAATTTAGAGAGAACCCTAAACTAACAAAGGAACATATAAAAATTCCAGGAACCTTGCCATCGGCTTTTCACATGAAAAAATTGTAAGAGGAGTAAAGCAAGGATCAGCGAATGATAGCCCATGGGCCAAATCCTGCCTGCTGCTTTGTTTTGGACAGTTTAAGCCATGAATGGTTTTTATATTTTAAAATGGCTGGCCAAAACCTAAAATGCAATGCAATAAAATAAATAAATGGGAAAAAAAAATAAATAAAATGGCTGGAAAAAAAAATCAAAAGGGGAACACTTGGTGAAAAGGTGCAAATTTCAGTGTCCATAAATGACGTTTCAGTGGAACAGAGACACTGCCGCTGGTTTATATACTGCCTACGGCTGCTTTCACTCTGCAGTAGCAGAGGTGAGGGGATGCAACAGAATTCCCATGGCCCACAAGGCAAACAATATTTACCATCTGGCCCTGTCCAGAAATCACCTGCTGACCCCTGGAGTAAAAGATATTAAGGGAGGGCACCTTCTGAGACTAAATATGTAATTTGGGGATCTAAGAGAATAACACAGAAGAGTTATTGAATGCTTCCTCTAGGTCAGGGTCTATGTTAAGTGCTTAACATGCATAATTTTGCCAAATTTTGCAATATACCCCATGACATAGTGGCTGTTTTCTAAATCTCTATTTCATAGACGAGGAAACGGAAGTTCACAGCTGTGATATTCGGCCCAGGCTGCATGTTAGAATCACCCAGGGAGCTTTTAAAACTTGCTAATGCTCAGTAAGGTCTTACTAATCAGACATAGGATCCCACAAGGAGGTTGGCTGAGCTAGACTCCAGCTCCATATCTGTCTGAATTTAAAGCACAATGCACTTAAGACCAACTTCTATTTCCTTCCAAATGGCAAGACTCATAGGCTGTGGCCATTTCCTACATGGGATTAACCCTATTTCCAGCCAGCAGTGAGCAATGTTCCTTCTCTTTTTCCTAACAATAATTTTGACTATGTGTTGAGGGCCTACTATGTGCTTTGTAGTTGATCTTCATTAGTGCCTTTCCCTTGAGTCTCTTCCAGTAACATTAGTATTATGTCCCCAGTTTTCAGATGGGGCTCAGACAAGGTTAGAGCGACTTGCAGAACAGTGATGCAAGGTGCGGGCTTCTGTAGTGCTGGTCACATTCTGCTTCTTGATTGGATGCTAGTTACAGAGGAGTTTTGCTTTCTGAAAAGTCACTGAGCTCTATGCTTAGGTGAATTTTCTGTATTTTACACTGCAATAAAAAGTTTAAAACATATTTTGCCTAAGGTTACACAAAACGTGAAGAATCCAGGATTCAAACCCTAGTCTACGTCATTGTTTCTTACCGCGTGTGACGAGACCTTTCTCATAACACAAGGAATTAAATAGCACTGATCACAAAGTGAGAAAGCTGTCCCCTTTTCAATTCTTGTTCAGACACTTTGATTACATCAAGGAGAACGTCTCTCTTTGGCAGTAGCATGTCTTCGACATTGCTGAAACACTTGCTAACCTTCCTTTTTAATAATAGAAGAGAAGGCTCAGTCAGGCTTAGCAAGCAATATATCTAACTAGACTTTAATAATATTGCTTTATTTTCATTACATTGTGTTGTCCACAGTTACCTTTTGAAGCAGACTTGGCTCCTGGCCTACCCAGTATCCACTTTTTCCCTTAGTAACAAAAATGTAATTTTTTTACCCAAATAACAGACCTCATTCTCCAGTCTCCCTTGCAGTTAGGCAGGCTAAGTGGCTAAGCCTGGCCAAAGAGAAGCAAGCAGAAGTTGCTGTGTGGGACCTTCAGGAATGTTTCTTGGTTAAAAGGTACACAAGCATGCTCTCTTTTGTCTTTCCTCTTTCCTGATGGCTACCTGTGTGATGGCTGGTGATCCAGCAGCCATCTTGGGCCATAAAGCAGCCTCAGTGGTGGAGGTCACATAGTAAAGACAACAAAGCAGACAACGGAAAGGAGCCTGGATTCCCAGTAACACCGTGGGTCTGACAGAAGTGGATAGCCTTGGATGGCTTCCTCCCATTTTTTTTTTTTTTAGACAGTATCTTGCTCTGTCACCCAGGCCAGAATGCAGTGGTGGGATGTTGGTTCACTGCAACCTCCCCCTTCTGGGTTCAAGCAATTCTCCCTGCCTCAGCCTCCTGAGTAGCTAGGGTTACAGGTGCCCACCACCATGCCTGGCTAAGTTTTGTATTTTTCAGTAGAGACGGGGTTTTGCCATGTTGGCCAGGCTAGTCTTGAATTCCTGACCTCAGGTGATCTGTCTACCTTGGCCTTCCAAAGTGCTGGGATTATAGGCGTGAACCACCACTCCTGACCTCTTCCATTCTTAAAAAAAAATTTTTTTTTTTAAGAGACGGGGTCTCGCTATGTTGCCCAGGCTGGAGTGCAGTGGTTATTCACAGGCGTGATCCCACTACTGATCACCACGGGAGTTTTGACCTGCTCCATTTCCGACCTGGGCTGGTTCACCCCCTCCTTAGGCAACCTGGTGGTCCCCTACTCCCGGGAGGTCACCATATTGATGCCGAACTTAGTGTGAACACCAAGCTGGCATAGCGCACTACAGTCCAGAACTCCTGGGCTCAAGCCATCCTCCCACCTCAGCCTCCTGAGTAGCTGGGACTACAGGCACCCGCCACCCCCAGCCTCTTAAACATTTTTTTGAGATGAGGTATCATTACAGTTTCAAACAATTCTCCTGCCTCAGCCTCCTGAATAGCTGGGATTACATTCTTCTCCTTAAGTGAAGAAGTAAACTCCTATCTTATTTCTGTCTAATATTTCTGCTCACCATTCCTGGAAGTCAAATGCAATTCCCAAGGACTCTTTAATTTATAGCAAACTACACAAATTTTCCATTTAGAGTAACAAAGTTTCTTTAAACTTTTTTTTAGCAAAATAAATGTCACTATATCAAGATAAAGAAAACACTAGGTGTGAACTATCATGGGTGATTCATGGGACACAAAATGGCGAATTCGGACAGAATCCTGGGAACCATCACACTAGGTTATATGGCCTTTTTGCCAGTAGAGAACCCATGAGGAGAGAGGTTCTCAGTCTTCTCAGTGGAACCCTTCTCTCACCTGTGCTGGCATGTGGGGATCTCATTATTGGCCTAGGTCCAGGCCAGGGCAGCTTCTGGGGCCCAAGGGCATGCTCACTTACCAGCTGTCTTCCAGTGTCTGTGTGCTGCTCCGGCCCTCCTGCCTCTTCTCCAGCTCCACTGCTGTCTGTTCCAACAAAGCAGACACAGCGTCCTACAGAGACAAAGGCTGCTGGGTCACTGGGTGCAATATAGGTGCCACCCTTCCTGCCAGGAATCAGAGCATCTCAGATCTGTGACCCTCCCAGTGAACTGATGGTGAAACCAAAGACCAGAGTGGTCAAGCATCTTGCCCAAGGTCACTGATAAACTAGAAAAATGGTCCTTAGTTCCCCCAGCTAACAGTTCTCTAGAGAATAGCTCCTGTATGTATGAACCTACTCAGCATCGTGGTGGAAGACAGCCAAGTTTAGCAGTGAAGTAAGAGAGAATTAAGGTCCCTGACTATAAAGAGATCATAGCATCATCAGACCAATGTGTGAACCATCAATAATGTAACACAATAAGGATACAATACAGAAGAGAGGTAATAGGAGAGATAAGTATTGGCTCTTTGAGAACAGTGGAGCAGTGATAAAGCTTGGGAAGCTGCATTCAGGGAGGGCTTCCTGAAAGAGGAACATCTATACTGAATGGTATCTGCAGTGAAAAGCCCCTGTGGCTTGATGAAATTATTTAACCTCTCTGAGACTGTACTAGAAAGGGTTGTTATGAAGATTAATTGAGACACTATATAAGGAACATAGAAGAGTACCTGGCACATAATTGGCACCCGGTAAATGGCAGCTAATACTAAAGCAAAAAGTGGATCCTGTAGTTTTCTGAGCACGTGGCTAATTTGTAGTTACCCTTGGTAGTTTGGGCCAGAGCCTGAAAGATTCCTAACATTTGCTTGTAAGGAAGGTAAAAGGGAACTAAAATCAACTGAAGGCCTGCCATATACCAGGCACTGTGAAAGATGGTTTATGTGTAGCTTCTTTTTTTTTTTTTTTTTTTTTAGACGGAGTTTCACTCTT